CCTTCAGAATGCTGAAGGAAAATAATTTTAAACTTGAACTCTATACCCAGCCAAGGGCATGTATCAGGTGCAAAAGTGAAAAGGACACTTCAAAAATGGTGTTGACAAGCACCCAAACACATTCCTTCTGAAAACGGTACTTCAGGAAGTACTCCAGAAAACTACAAAATAAATCCAAAACAAAAAGAAAAAAGACATGAGAGCTAAGAAAACACTTTTCCAAAAGTGCAATTAAATAATGATATTAGCTAAGCATTATACTCAGAAAAAAGTCAGTTCATATTAGAACTTCAACAAACAGTATGATTCAAAAGCTAGATAACCAAGTGATATGATGAAGAAGGGACACCCTCTTCTACCAACAGGGGGAAAATGTAGTAATTAGAAAATTCAAAAATAAGTTATATGCCAAACTAGAAGCCAAACTAAAGTATGGGATGATCTTGAGTACCAAGAGAGTATAAAAATCCATCTATTCAATCCAAAAATGGGCAGAAGACCTAAACAGACATTTCTCCAAAGAAGATATACAGATTGCCAACAAACACATGAAAGAATGCTCAACATCATTAATAATTAGAGAAATGCAAATCAAAACTACAATGAGATACCATCTCACACCGGTCAGAATAGCCATCATCAAAATATCTACAAACAATAAATGCTGGATAGGGTGTGGAGAAAAGGGAACCCTCTTGCACTGTTGGTGGGAATGTAAATTGATACAGCCACTATGGAGAACAGCATGGAGGTGCCTTAAAAAACTAAAAATAGAACTACCATACGACCCAGCAATCCCACTACTGGGCATATACCCTGAGAAAACCATAATTCAAAAAGAGTCATGTACCAAAATGTTCACTGCAGCTCTATTTACAATAGCCAGGATATGGAAGCAATGTAAGTGTCCATCGACAGATGAATGGATAAAGAAGATGTGGCACATGTATACAATAGAATATTACTCAGCCATAAAAAGAAACGAAACTGAGTTATTTGTAGTGAGGTGGACAGACCTAGAGACTGTCATACAGAGTGAAGTAAGTCAGAAAGAGAAAAAATTCTGTATGCTAACACATATATATGGAATCAAAAAAAAAAAAAGAAAAGAAAACGGTCGGAAGAACCTAGGGGCAAGACGGGAATAAAGATGCAGACCTACTAGAGAATGGACTTGAGGATACGGGGAGGGGGAAGGGTAAGCTGGGGCAAAGTAAGAGAGTGGCATGGACATATATACATTACCAAACGTAAAATAGATAGCTACTGGGAAGCAGCCGCATAGCACAGAGATATCAGCTCGGTGCTTTGTGACCACCTAGAGGGGTGGGATAGGCAGGGTGGGAGGGAGGGAGATGCAAGAGGGAAGAGATATGGGGACATATGTATATGTATAACTGATTCACTTTGTTATAAAGCAGAAACTGACACACCATTGTAAAGCAATTATACTCTAATAAAGATGTTAAAAAAAAAAAATCCGGGCTTCCCTGGTGGCGCAGTGGTTGAGAGTCCGCCTGCCAATGCAGGGGACGCAGGTTCGTGTCCCGGTCCGGAAAGAACCACATGCCGCGGAGCGGCTGAGGCCACAACAGTGAGAGGCCCGCGTCCGGCAAAAAAAAAAAAAAAAAAATCCATCTATTCTCTATGGATCCCATCATACTAC